AACTCCTAAACCCGAAACCCTAAGACAGCAGATGGAGATCGGTGCAGACCCCGCCGCTCCTACAGACCCCCCTTGGAGTTCGTCCCGGCGTCGTACTCCACAAGGGTGCTCCCACAGCTCAGAGCTGCGCAAAATTCGACAGTTCGGTGCCGAAGGGAGGCGGACCCTAAGGGAAATCCTATAAAACTCTAAACCCGGACGAAGACGCGCGCCCAGGATCCTAAACCCCGAGTTTTCCTAAAACCCGAAACCCCTGAGAGACTTCATCTTGCCGCCCGAAACCCCTCCTAAGCCTTCGGTCTTCTCCTCCACTCAGCCCGAAACCCTCATGCCGCTACCTGACCCTAAGGGTCCATGTATCCANNTATCCAAATAGATATACTTTGGCCTTGAGGCCCAAGTATATATTATTTGGGTACATGGACCCTTAGGGTGATTTACACTTTAAGACTTTAAGTCTCAGACCTTATAAGCCCATACATGTAAAACCTAAACCCCCAAACCCGCAGAGCCTAAATCTGAAGTCCAAAGCGCGACTCTCAGCTTCGGCAGGAGGCGGCCTCGGCGGAAGCCTCGCGTTCCTCCAGGCATATTTTTTGTTTTGCGTTCTCATGGTTCATCTGGTATACGAGGTAAAGGTTAATGGTTTGATTTATTGGTTAAGGGTGGGAAGCTAAGCCATGCATTTCCAGAGCGGGTGTTGGCCGCAAGGAAGAGGATTTCCTGCTTTAGGATCCAACCTCACGCCCCTAGCCGAAACCAGTAGAAACTCCCTCACCACACTTGCAAAGCCATAAATTGCTCTGATTACCATCGGAAACAGGTGGGAAACAGAAGTCAATCAGCCGGCTTTCCGTCCGAAGCCGACCCAAAATCCCTAAACTCTAAAACGCATAGTTATGACATCCCCAAAATCTAAACCCTAAACCCTAAACTAAACCCTAAACCCCCTCAATCCCAACCTCCTAGACCTTCAGCGCAATGCAGTATGCCCGAAATCCTTAAGGGGAGATCTTTCAAACTCCCTTCAACAACCCTCTCCCTAAACCCTAAACCCTGTAGAACTTTTATAGGATCCTAAACCCTAAACCCAGATCCCTGTAGAAGCTGTACAGGATCCTAAACCCTAAACCCCTAAACCCTAAAACTGTAAACCCTAATCCCTGTAGAAGCTGTAGAGGATCCTAAACAAAGAGAAAGCCTGGGAGGCTTGACGGCAGATGTTCAGCGCTGGCAGCCGAGCCAGGAAGCCGAGAATGGTTTGGTCTCGGGATAAAAGGGAGTTTCCGAAAATAAGGGGGTACATTATTTTGGGGGTCCTTGTAATAAATGTCCTACTGTTTAGGGTACTATACTAGGGTCCCCTATTTTCGGAAACCCCCCATATCGGTTCAGGGCCTAGGGGTTTAGGGTTGAGGGCCTTTTTTGGTTTTATACCTTTCTTTAAGCAGGGCAGATGTTCTGCTTTCGGGGTTTACGGTCTGGCATGGCCACTATGATTGATGATGATTCGATTAAACCCTAAACCCCTAAACCCCAAACTGTTTCAAGCGGTATAGAATCGAATCTATAGCCTGCTGGGTTCGGGGCTACAGGCAGGGCATTGGCTTCGGGAGGCAATCTGCTGGTCTAGTCTGTTCGACTCTGTTATATGAACATTATGTTCTACTTTTTTCATAATCGCATACAGCGCTCGGAAGGTTCAGTATTCAAGCTTTAGGGTAAAGGGTTAAGGGTTTCAAGCTTTAGGGCTTAGGGTTTAGGGGTTCAAGCTTTAGGGTTTAGAGTTTAGGTTTTCAAGCTTTAGGGGTTTAGGGGGTAGGGCTTCAAAACAAGACAAGGGCTCGACTCTCGCCCCCGGCCTCTCCACTGCTCTGGGAGCTTCAGGACATGGGAAGAAAGCCCAATACCCCTTAAATAAGGCATTGACCTTAAACCATAATAGTAAGGCCCCTCTAATTTAAGATATACTCCTTAATTAAGGTGTGTTGGGTTCTCTGGGTGGGACCTTGGCAAGTAGGAGGGGAGTGCAACCAGCAAGCAGCTGCGGGCCTGAACGGACGAATAGTGTTTAGGGTTTTAGGAGGTTTAGGGGTTTAG